GGGGGGGGGATATATTACAATGACACCTGGAGGTGGGGGGGATATATTACAATGACACCTGGAGGTGGGGGGGATACATTACAATGGCACTTGGAATTGGGGGGATATATTACAATGACACCTGGAAGTGGGGGGGATATATTCAGCAGGAAGTGAACATTTTGTCCCTGAAGTTAATGTGTTGGAAGCAGAAACAATGGACACATGGAAGGATTTGAGGGACTCTGACATTGTGACGTGTAGACAACCGGGTCAGAGCAACTCCAACACTGCAGCTCTTGTGCGATGTTCCCGGTCAGAACCGACCAAAAGTGGCCCAAGGAAGGAAAACCGGTGCACTGGCGACAAGGTCATGGGCGGCCAAGGCTCATTGATGGACCCACCTGATGAATCATGTGGATGGCCGGGTGCGTCACTTACCTGGGTGCCGGGGAGGAAGCGAGAGGAGCTAAATTAAGTTCCACTTTTAAACAGATTTTAATTATTATTTGTGTAATTTTGTTGGTCAGCCGTCATGACTAGGGGGGGTGTTGAGCCTCGTCGTGGCACATGATGGCTTTTCTTGTGAGCTGTTGTCATGTGGGAAAAAAATGAACCGGACTTGCATGGTATCTGTGGTGCTCTCACTCTACTACTCAGTGGACCCCCCAAGCATACCCTGGCTGATGGAGAGCTGACTCTAAAATCCGGATCTAAGGGCCTTAAAGGAGAACTATGGGGTCAGGGCTTTTCCCCATAGTTCTCCTTAGGGTAACAGGAGGACACAAACTAGCGTCCTCCCGTCACCCTAAGCTCAGTATATAGGGAGCCACAGCTCGCGGTATACAGAGACGCCGGAGCGGATCCCGACAATTATGTCTGGATCCGCCCAGCTGTGTGAGTGACAGCTGGCTCTGCCTATCTAGAGGCAGAGTCAGCTGTAACCGCCCCCTCCCCCGTCCGTTCTGCCAGTCAACGCTGGAGGATCGGAGGGGGGAATCCAGCCCTCCCCTGACAGGATCGAGAGGTGAGCGAACGCCGGTATGTGTTCCCTCACCTCCCGATCTACTGAGCCGACCCTTGACAGTCTCATTGTCACAGGTCGGCTAGAACTATGAGGTGAGTGAAAAGCACTCCCCCCCCCCCATAGTTCTCCTTTTAAAGCAAACTTTTACCCCCTTTGACTAAAGATCACATCACCTCTACTGATATGAAATCATCTCACATTCATTAGCTCAGCAAGCATATTTTTCATTTACTTACAAACGTCTTTCCACTTCCTGGTCCTCCTGGTGATGTAATCTGTGCCCAAGCATTGCATCCTGGGAAGGTGACATCAGCAGAGCATTGCTGGGAAATCTCATCTGTAATCTCACGAGATCTCAGGGAAAGGGCATTTTCCTCCCCTGAGATGATGTGAGCGGTCACATGTCCTAGTCACATGTGCCAGAGTTCCAGGAAGTAAAGGGAGATCTAGTAATCTTTACAAAGAACAAGGCAGACTGCCTTCAAAGGGGAGACAGCCTAAGGGTTAACCAAAGATCGGGACAGACCAATCTTTGGTTAACCCTTAGGCTGGGCACACACCTTACAACCACCGCAAGAATTTTGTCTTGCGATGGTTGTAAGGTACTTAAAAAAACGTACGATCTGTCTATCTTGCATAGGCAGATCGTACTTGCGATGATCGCAAGCCACGCCCCCTGAGGGGCGGGCTTCAGATGACGGCAATGCCGAACGGGCAGTGTGGGCTTGCGCACACCGGCCCGTACGGCTTTTAGCGTACGGACATGCCACATGTCCGTAAGTTAAAAGTCGTGCGACCTTACAGTAGTAGAGGTCGCACGGCTTACACGCACCTTACGATAATCGTACGATCGCGGGATTTCCCGCCATTACCGTACGATTATCGCAAGGTGTGTGGGGACCTTAAGACTGTCTCCCTTTTGAAGGCAGTCTGCCTTGTTCTTTGTATGCTGTTACTGGGTTACTGGTACGGTAGACAGACCACCTCAAAAAGGGTAATCTATAGAGCATAGATCTCCAGGAGTAAAACAAGCCCAGTTTCTTAGATCTAGTAATCTACTCTTAGTTAAAATGGCCGCTGTCAGAAGACTGGGGAAGAAAAGAGAAATAAGGTGCAGAGAATACAAAGCCGGCAATTATCTAGAAGTATCTGTGTGTAGATTGTCAGTACGGAACATTCTAAAGGTGCTTTTGTTGTCATTTTGAAGATTTGGGTAAAGTTCCTCTTTAATCCTCTTGTTTTTGGATCCAACGCTCTATGAACACACCTTTTATGGTGACTAAGGCTGGGCACACACCTTACAACCATCGCAAGACTTTTGTCTTGCGATGGTTGTAAGGTACTTAAAAAAACGTACGATCTGCCCATCTTGCATAGGCAGATCATACTTGCGATCGCAAGCCACGCCCCCTGAGGGGCGGGCTTCCGATGACGGCAATGCCGAACAGACAGTGTGCGCTTGCGCACACCGGCCCGTACGGCTGTTATCGTACGGACATGCCACACACCCGCCGAACGTCGTACGATGCTCGGCGCGTTTTCGAACATGTCCGTAAGTTCAAAGTCGTGCGACCTTACAGTAGTAGAGGTCGCACGGCTTCCACGCACCTTACGATAATCGTACGATCGCGGGATTTCCCGCCATTATCGTACGATTATCGTAAGGTGTGTGGGGACCTTAAGAAGGGATTTCCCTTCCATCGGAAAGATATCCTTTCACTTCTTGTTGCGTCTACAGGACAGGAAGTGAAGGGAAATGTCCGTAATGAGACACAGCTGACGGGGTTCTAACCCTCCCGTACCTTAGTTTTGGTTTTAGATACACAAGGGAAAGCAGACGGCGACAAGGAAATATTTGTAAGAAATTATATTTATGTCTCAGGAATAAATGCACTCATAGTCCCTCTAATAACCCCAATATGAGTTACAGGCCCCTTCTGGCAGCGAAGAGGTTAAATACACAGCTCAACAGACTGAATAAAACGCCTTCATAAAGAAACAAGCAGCACATACAATATGGCAACCTCAGCGTGGACGGGACCGGACAAGGCAAAGACGGGAGATGTCGGACTTTGGGAGTGTAGGGAAGGCACTCGCTTTAAAGTGAGCCGCATCCCGGCTGGCACAGCGACTGGAGCGAGGTCGGTCGCCCCGGCGGTAGGGCCCGGATCGTCCGCGCCTTTCGTCTTGCGACATGGACCTCACGGGCAACGTCCACGATGCCGGTATGTTTACAACTTGAACCGCATCCGCCCAGCTGGCAGCCAGACCC